CGGCATCGCAAATCGAATAACGCCATTGATTTCGAAATCAAATATTGCGTTGCAACGATTATTCGAGCCAATTTCGATTGGAAAGCAGTTATTTCGATTGAGACTAGAAACAATTTCACGCATCAACTTTGGAATTGAATGCGGTTTCAGCTGTAAAACGGACCAAGAATAAGAGAGATGTTTATAAGAATAGGCGATAGGTATCGAGCTGATTCAGCGGTGCCACTGATATTTCCGGAATGAACCGGATATTTGGGTCACGTTGATCAAGTGTGGTGAACAATCTAGGAAATGGCATGTTACGGCCGGATGTCGTGCCAAGTGGTTAGATTTAAAGCGTGACAAGAAACTACTTCGATTATAAAATGCCTGATCTGTTATTAGAGCGTTTCATCTGTTTCGCACGCGTCAGCGTGAAGATTTTTTGTCTTTAATTTTATCAATATAATTAATGGATTAATAAATAGCACTTTGCGTACAGTTTAAAAAATTGCAACTCATAAAATTCTAGATTTTATCCCATTAAAGTTATGTTGCAACTTAATTATGAAAATGTACTCACATAGAAAAGTGAAATACGACGCGGAGTTACAGATGAATTTGATGAATGGCTTTCTCATGGTCTGACCGACCATACTGTGGGGTGCGATGATATACGCCACGCTGAAAAACGGGAAGAGGACGCCGATCCTAACGATCTCCAGCGCTTGGAGAAACATATTCTTCCTTCGGAATCCCGGCAGGCCCTCGTACCAGATCGATGCCAGTAGCTGCTGTACGTTAGGATGCGCCACGAACTGAAAACATCCAGGTAACGCGATATTGACCGACAGCTTCCGGTCACGTGACTGGGAGAGAAAGGTGGCAATACTCGCGCAATCAGAGTATAAGCTGCAATTACTGTTCAAATTGTCGTTCCTAATTATAACATTAAATTAACGAACGTCCTCGGTCTCTGTTCCACTGTTTAATTGAAGCTCAATTATCCCTGCGTCAATATTTCGAAAGTTGCAATTGAGCGAGAAATTGATGATGTAATTGTTAGACATCTTACATGTGTTTGAAATTGTAGAAAATCTTTCCGCATATTCGATTTGAAATAATTGCGATCGTTTAAATACAAAAAAAATTAATTCTATATCTTTTCTATAATGAGATGTAATTAAAAATCTATAAAATTTATCTCTTTCGTTTAAATTTCGTATACCTTTTTTTGCCTCAGCTTAATGGCTAATTTTAAGCGATTGAGATGCATCCTCTCTCCGTGCTCAAAAGCTGGTCCCGTTGGGTCGTGATTCAGC